GGCTTCCACTGACTAATACAGAGACAGCAAATGACTGTGAGTCAGAGGCGACCCCAGGGAACCAGGGCTGTGCGTCGCACCAACTCTGGGCACTAATTACTTGGGCACATTTTTAGATTCTCAGAACCTACGCGGTGGTGACTTCAGCCATCCAGGAGAATCATTTTGAAAACAAACAAAAATCCACCTGAAAGTCACCTTGGTGACTTGGAGGCTGGCAGGACTTCCTAGCCATCAGAAGGACCTTAATGTGGCTCAGATTTGTAGCTCTGTGTGACTCCTTGGACACCCGCTTTTCATCGAGTCAAGAATCATCTGACTTCCCACCCTGGCCCCAGCCTCTCTCCTCAGCCCCAGCAACTATCTGCAGAGCTGCATCTACTTGGAAATGCATTTTTTGCCTCCAAAACACACAAAAGCTGTTGATGTGTGCCTTGGAGTCAGGCGGGGGGAACTCCCCCAGAGAGCAGAGCGCATCAACCTAAAAAGCAAGGAATGCAGACTCTGGGGTGACATTCTTGCTCTTAACCATGCCAGCCTGGCGCTCCACAGTGTTCACATTCCTACAATTAAACTGCCAAGTTCTCAATCACCTGCAGCTGCTGCCAACTGCTGGCTGCTGATAGCCAAAGTGGCGGCCGCCCGGGCGTCAGCAGTCCCGTTTTGCCACCTCCTCTGGACTGGCTTCACTGCTCTCCCAGCCTCCTGACGATAGTCAGGCACTCATTTCGCTTTTCCGGGGGCTATGAGGAGACACACCTGGGCAGGTGCCGTGGGGCTGGCACGCAGAGGCTCCCTGCAGGACCCACAGCTTTCCCTGTGCTGTGCTATTTTAGTGCTTCAAACACCACCTCCTCCTAGTGGGATGGCAATTCTCATTCCCGAGGAGAGCCAACAGCCCGGAGAGTGGAGAGAAAGTGCTGAGCACACATTCCCCGCCAGCCACCCAGGATCTCAGAGAACCTGCACCTCACCCAGGAAGGCAAATATTACACCCCGATTTCAGAAACAAAGGCCCCGGGGAAAGCTTGGCCACCTGACAGTCTAGCTCCCTGCTCTCTCCCATCACCAACACCCTGGATTAGACGCTTATGACCTTCCCTGGACCTGGTTTCTGCTTTTTAGCCTCTAGGCTCCATTCAATCCATCTGCACCTTCACCGTGGACGCCATTAGCCACAAGTGGCCACTGAGCCCTTGCAAGGTGGCTAGGACGATTAAGACATGCTGTTAGGTAGAAATGACACAATGGATTCTGATGACATAAACAATAAGAAAGAAGACAAAATATCTGGTGGATAATGTGTAACATTGTTGTTGTTTTGAAATGCTTTTAATGATTGTATTTTCAATATAATAATCAAGACACATTATTAATCTTTTTTTTTTCTTTTACTTTTTTCACCTGGCTCCTACAAGATGTCAAGTTATGCAGGCAGGTTACGTTTCTGGCTCACGGTATCAACGACTTAGATCTCACAGTGTCTGGAGATTGACCAGGATGTTCTGTTTGAACCACCAACTGCCTGTGTCACCTCCCTGCTCCCCACAGCCAGCTGGCTTAATTCCAGGGTCTCTGACACGGCTGACGAGCCCTTCCCTGCTTGGTTCCTTGTCTCTCTCACGTGTCCCCACACCTGCCAGCTCTAAACGTGGGTGATTCTTCATCCACACCACAACGTGTCTAGCTCCTCTCTGCGGTTATGCCCGCATCTGAGAGGCCTCTCTCCCTCAAGCTGCCCAGCAATTCCTCCTGCTCATTTCTCCAACTTGATGACTACTTCTAGAAGCCTTCTTCATCCCCCCTGCTTTTCCCAGGGCAAGAAGAGGGTGCAGCCAGCCAGGCACCTTCCATGCACAAACCTCGGCCTGGTGCACCTCACCTGGCCCCAGGGCCTGTCTCTTGGAATGGCCCCCTCTTCACATGATGCCTCCCCTGTGGCTGTGCTCTCTGTGTCACAGATGATGAGAGATGGTTCATTAGTGGATTCCCAGCAGCCCTCCAAAAAGCTGACTGTGACACCCACAAGGTGAAACTTCATTCAGAGATGTCAAGCTTTCTTCAGGCACTGGGCTGTGTGCTGGGAAAAAAAAACACAATCTATCCTAAGAAGCACCTCAGAACTTGGTTACGTGCCCGCCAATCTCCTACTCAGAACACACATTTCCCAACCTCGAGGTGGACTACCCATGCAGCTGGATGAAGCATGGAATCAGGATCCCATCCAGGGGTTCTGATTCTGAAGACCTATGGCGAGGCCCAGGTGTTCCATGAGCAGAGGCAGAGGGACTCTCTCCTGCTACGTTCAATCATGCACTTACCTATTTGTTCACGGGTGCATCATGGAGCAACTACACTGTGTAAATCTTTGTCATCGGACTGTCAGGGACACAGAGGAAAATTGGAGAGGAGTCATGTTTCACAGGCTCCTCTAATTTATGAAATGCTCCCAAGTGCACTCTTCTTCTGCACTTGTAGAACCAAGATGATGTCCCTTTTAGAGGCACGACTGCTTTGCCCCACATCACAGGTGAGGAAGGAATAGGGACCGTAATTGAGGCCACATGGTGAGTGAGGAGTGGAGGCTGGGTGAGCCCAGCTGTCTTCTCACTTGATGAGGAGCTTGCCTTGAAATGGTGTCTTGAAGTCTCAGGAATTTCATGCCTGGGAATTCCAGACCAGCAGGAAGAAAGGGAGGAAAAAGGATCCTGGAAGGCAATTCATGCCAGTGAAAATGTGAGCCCCCCTTGGTGGCTGCCCGATGCTGTAAGACCTGCTCAATGTGACCCTGGCAGGTGCCACCCCCCACACCCAAGTGCCTAGACTGAGCTTGGAACCCTGTGAACATGGGGCTTCCTGTCGTGGTTCTAGGACAGCCAGGACTTTACTACAATGCAGCAGCCTTCTACCCTGAGGCAGCCAGCCCAGCCCCTGCCCAGGCCAGCTCCCTGGGCGCTGGGGACCAGGTTGTCAGTTAAGCAGATCTGACAGCTGACAGCTTTCACAGCAGCCCAAGCAGCAGCCCAAGCAGCAGCCCAAGCAGCAGCCCAAGCAGCAGCGTAGCTTTCCTTCTCTCTCTCTCTCTGTCTCTCTCTCCCCCACCCCCCTCTTCCTTTCCCTGTTGTTGGTGCAAGACTGGAAGCCTGACTGGAATTTAAAGCAAGTCTTTGGGACAAAGCGTCTGTCAGCACCCAGCCTGCTCCTTTGCTTCTTCCCACTGGGTGGGGTCTGAGAACAGCTGCACTGTGAGAGGAGGGGTCTGGAGCTGGGAGCAGGGGAGTGGCTCCTGTCCCAGCCTGGGCTTGTGTTGGGAGCACCTCAGGGGCAGGAAACCCTTCAGGGAGCATCTGTAGTCTGTCCTGGGTCCCAAGGCCCTTTTGCTCCTGGAGACTGGGACACCCGAGGCTCCTAGTCTGCTGCTAATCCATCCTCCCCACTGACTGCCCATCAGTCCCTGCTTGAGGCAGATAGATAAATAGATGGAGAGATAAGAAGGGGGACTCTAAACAGCTTAGATAAACCATCCTATTTACATCTGGGCTCCAATATCTATCAATCCATTCTCTCAGTCTGCCACTTCCGCCTGCCTCCAGGAACCATTCATCTGTCTTCTCTCTGCCCCACGCTTTCCCCTCCCACCCCCCATTTTCCAGCATCAAAATAAACCCGCAGCTGAGACACAATGAGGCATGTCCTTCCACTCCAGTTATCTTGGAAGGGTGGTGATGGTGGCTGACACCATGGCTCCCTGTGACTCTTCTCCTCAGGAAATATGCAAATGTCCTTCTGAATGCTCAGGGGACAAACACCAAGTATCAGATCTGCTGGGTTAGGCCTGCATTCACAGTTTTGCAAATAGAGCAAAAAGCTCCCTAATCCAGGCTCTCCAGGGATAGGCGAGGTGGTGGGAGACCCACAGTGAGCTTGGGGAGAGAAGCCATTTGAATTAATAAGGGAGCAAGGAATCGAATATGTGTACAGTTGTATCACTTTTTAGGTGATTTGGGATACCTGGATGAGGTGAAGGACTAGGAGAAGAAAGAGGAAGAAAGTGGGAATTTTCTAAATTTCACAATTAGCACTATTGACATTCAAAATGTTCATTTCTTTAGATTCTCTGAACTCCAAATTTCACTGCTAACAGCATAAGGGGCTAGTTTGAATGATTACATTCCCAGTAGAAGCAATGAAAATTCATGATATTAATTGTATATGAAAATATCAACAAAGGCAGAGAGGGGGGGAAAGACCTCTGGCCTCATTAATGAGGCATGCTCTGCCTGCCAGACACACACGGCCAGGACACCTTGCCCTCTCCTTGGGGCCACCAGGCCTCAGATTTTGCTGGGTCCAGAAAATGCAACAAATCTCCCACTTTCCATTGACCTCTGAAGACCACTCCGTCCTGTTCCCACAATTATCCCATGTCTGCAGTCCCAGCTGTTGGTGCTAGGCCTTTCCTGGTGCCTCCTTGTAAAGGTAAAATTTCTAAGCTGATTCTAAGCTGCAAAAGTCTGAGTTAAAGTGTAAAAGACCGGGCATTGTAAAGTTTCTAAATTGCAAGGCCTGGGCTAAAAAGTAAAAGACTAGGTATTGTTAAAATTCCTCTGCTACCCCCGGAACCTGTAATCTCTGTAGCTGTTAGGACAATGCTGGAACTGCCCAGTAAATATTTCCATTGATTCCCTTGTTGTTTAATAGCTAAGGGCTCTAAGTAGCTTGGCACGTAAGCATCCAGGTCCCAAAACCAATCAGTTTAAATGTGTACCCCGCTTAGGAGTGACCAGTCACCGCTTCCCAGACTATTCCCGCCAATGAATGGACTAATCATGTCTCAGAGCTGTTCAATTTTCCCCGAGGCTCATGATGATTTGTTCTGATGTATGCAAAGCCCCCCGCCCTCTCCAAAAAGTGTACTTAAGCTCTGCTTGACCTCTGCTCTGGGCTCTAGGCTGCTCTCCCTTCCTGAGTGAGCCTTGAGCCCCAGCATGCTGGTTCAATAAAACTCCCCCCTGCTTATTGCATGAAGTTGGTCTCTTGTGGTCTCTTTCTCCGACGCTCCGCCGGACCCTTACATCCTCATCCCTTCTGTTGACTTCTGGACAAACTGGAGCAAAAGAAGGCAGCACCTTTATCTAGAGACCCTTAAATGGAAGAACTGAAGAAAACTGCGGTTGGCCCTGTCTCCTGGCCTACTACGGGTCACAGAGGTGGGCCCAGGCTCACAGGGTGTGACTTGCCATAGGAGGAGAGCAGCCTCTTTGGACCCTGTGAGTCCAGTTCCAGAGGAGATACGACAGTGGGGTGCCCTGTGGCTGCACCCCTACTCCAGTGAACGCTGGGGCAGCTTTCAGAACTGTTGGGGCATCTGCCTCCCGGCCAACGTGAAGACTGCTGCCGACACTGCCCAGAGCACCCCTGGAACTGGGACGCACTACACACAGGAGAATCAGGACCCAGAGGAGAGTATGTCCGTCCTCCAAGGCCCCATTGTCGCCTGGAAAAACATGGTACAGTTAAGATTTCACTCACCCACCACTTCAGAGACATTGGCTGGCTGGCTTCGGGGCCATGTGGTATTTGTAAGTGTGCACTGGTGAGCATCAGAAGATGTCCGGAAGTGATCAAGAGCCCCGAGGGAGAAAAGGCCCCTTCCCCAAGCCAGCCAGGTTCATGTGCCAAGGACGGTGCTTCTGAAAGGGGAGCAGCTGCTCTCCCGTGTGCTATTTCAGGATGCAAATTTCTGAATACACATTATTTTAAGAAAGGAGATGGGAGATAGAAACCTGTGCCTTCTATTTTCTGACTCTGACATTCAGAAAATCCATGTTCTTGACTCACTTCACGTAAAGAGATAAGGGAATGACGCAAGCTAGCCGACTGCTGGGGACTGGTCCCTAGAGGCCCCTCCCAGCGGCGATCAGGATGCATCATTTAGGGAAGAAAAGCTCCCTCCTTACCTTGAGATAATCCCAAGGAAGAGAAAAGCAAACAGTAAGACGGAAAAGCAAGGCTCCTGCATCCGACTTACTCAAGGCAAAGCAGGAGGAATATGAGGCTTTAAATCATGAGGTTCCTGATGACAAGAGGTCCCTTGAGAAAGAAAGCCAAGAATAAGTGGGCGGTGCATGAAAAAAGTTTGCGTGAATAGACGGATGAATGAGCCAATGAACCCGGAGGCTCTGAACCGTGGCGGACTCACCTGACCCTTGGTACGTCTCTAGTGAAGGAAACTGCAAGAATCTATGGAGAACCTTAAAAAGAAGGAGGGTGTTTAGTGTGGTGCCTTAGCAGTGGCCTCTGTGCAGGGGCAGCTAGAGCCGTGTGTGGACCAGCTATATCATGTGGCCCAGGAAAACCTGTGGAAAAGTGATTCCCGTTGCTGCCTCAAACCCACGAACAGAGTCCCCGGGGTGGAGCCCAGAAGCTGTATGTGATCAGCTCCCAGCTGCTTCTCACATAGGCCAGCCAGACTTGGCCAATCGCCAGATTAGCATTAAAAACTACTATTCTGGATGACGTCACAAAGACCTTTCCAGCCTCAGGATTCTATGACTGTAAAAAGGAGACATCGGGGTGAAGAAATCTAGGCTAGAGTGTTCATTCTTTGCACATTTATTGAGCACATACTGCACACCAACCACTGGGAATGTAACAGGGGTTTTATTTATTTATTTATTTTTACCAGGTGCTGAGGATTGAACCCAGTGCCTCACAGGTGTGAGGCAAGCACTTTACCACTGAGCTACAACCCCAGCCCAAACAGGGGGTTAAAAAGAAAGCACAGACATGTTGCTCTGGATCCTGGCTGAGCAGGAACATCTTGATCTCCAGAGAAAACCAACAGAAATTTACCCCACGATTAACAAGACCATCAGAGAGGATGAGCATTAAAGAAAAAAATTTGTTTTGCCTTTCACAGAATAAAAGTAAGTCCTTAGATGTGTAATGCCTTACTTTAATTGTTTTTATACACAGCATTCACCCAGTGAGGTAGTTATTGGTTATTATCTTCATTGCCTAAAAGAGAAAACTGAGGCTTAGAAAAGTTACATGACTTCCCCGAGGGTCGCTTGGCTTGTAAGTAGGGGCACCAGGAATCCAATCCAGGATTTGAAACCCCTGACGTACGTAGTGCTAGCTTCACTATTCCCTAGAGATTCTTCCACTGTGGGGTTTAGTTTGCATGTCCCTATGAAACTATCGATGGCTTTCCATACTTTATCTGAGAGATGACATCATCTCCCGAGTCAAGGGAAAGGTCTACCTCGTTGGAAAAGTAAATCCCAGATGTACAGGGAGGGGACAGCTGGTGAACCAGCTCTGACACTTCCCCAGGTTCATCTTCCTTTGGTGAAATTTCCAAGGTGTGCTTCTTAACGCCGGCCCAACAGGCAGACCTGAGAGGAGAGCTTTGAAACACTCTCCAGCTCTAACCTCATCCCAGAGGCCCTTGGTCCTCACCGCGTGTTAGAGGCTGTGGCGGGTAGAAGTGTGGGCTGGAAAGAGGTGTATTCTCTTCTGAGTCCCAATATCGCTGAGTATCGCCTTCTATGGCCACAGGTGGGATTGGACAGCAGATCTTGAGAGACGCTCGTTAGGCCCAAATGCCATTGCTGTGTCACTATGAGGGATGCAGAGGAGGAGTCTGTGTGCAGACAGCAGAGAAATCCAGAGACGCTGGCTTTGCTGTGTGAGTGGTGGTAACAAATCAAGAGATGATGGCAAACAAGGAATGGGGTGTCCCCCGGGGCCCCCAGAGGCACAGCCCTGTCGACACCTTGATTTCAGCCCAGGGACGCAGGTTCCAAACTTGTACCTTCAAAATTGGGAGAGAAAAAAATTTCTGTTGGGGGCTGGGGTTGTGGCTCAGTGGTAGAGCGCTCGCCTAGCATGCGTGAGGCACGTAAATATAAAATAAAGACATTGTGTCCACCCATAATTAAAAAATAAATTTTTTTTTTTTTTAAATTCTGTTGTTTTTGGCACTGAGATGGTGGTTGCTGCGGCAGCCACGGGGGATAAACACAAAGTTCTGGAGAAGTCTGGCTAGAAAAAAGCCCCATTCAGTGGCTTAACCCAACATCCCCCCAACTTATTTGATCATGGCACTCCCCCCCCCCCATCAGGCTTATTAATAGCCAAACCAAACACACATTACACGCAACCCACTTTGGAAAATGCTGCCTGAGGGAAATCTTTTGCTAATTACTAGGGCCACCTCTGCTGGTCTGTGGAGAGAGATGCTTCCATTTAATGTTCTGGCCAAACAAGAGCCAGGGGCCTGGCCGGCCCACCCTGTAGCACAGCTGAGACCAAGGAGAATATTTAAATAGGATTTTCCTGAAGGCTGGGGATTACAGAAGGAGGAAGTCAGAAAGGACACAAGGATGCAAAATAACATAAAACTGGATGATCTTGGGGCCAAAGGGCTTGGGGGCAGGCGGTGATGACTTGGGCTTGCTACAGGGGTGCTACCCTGTCCAGCCCTGGCCTCTGCCATGAGGCCAGACATCTATGGACCTCGACATCGAGGACCACCTCAGGAAAGGAGGCCAGGGCCAGGGCCAGCATCTGCACTCCCCAGGCTTGCTTTGCAGGAGTCACAGGGAATCCCATGAATGGGAAAGGCAGAGTTTACGATGGGCCCCCCTCCCAGCCTGGCTTCCCGGACACCCGCGTGTCGCCGTGACTATTATGGTTATTTTACACACCTCTTTCACATGAGCGGTTGGCCATAAAGATGCACTTGTTTTGCTTTATTGCCATTTGCCTTATGTAGGCCATTAAGACTTCACCGCTCAGGCAAGGAGGTTTCATTTTATTTTTAAATAAGAAGGTTCTATGACTTCAAGACATTCGCAAGCTGGGAGAGCGAAGGAGTCGCATCCTGGCCGTTGAACAAGGGGGTCATGATGACATTCCAAAAGTCCTTTCATGGGTTGGCCTGAGACATCTTAGGGGGGAAAAAAAAAACCAGAAAGAGAGCGGAGGATAACAGCATGATGGAAAGAACGTTTAGAGAAGGAGGAGCCCATGGAGGACATGCGACAGACACACACAGGAAAGTAGCTGCCAGCTCAAGAGTCCAGGCTTCCGAGCCATGACTTCAAGGCAGCCTGCCACGCTCCACAAGGAGCTGATTCCTTCTGACAAGGAAGGAAAAGGGGCGGAGGCAGCCGCCTCCCCGGCTCCGCGCCCTGGTGACATTGCATGGACGTCCTTTAGGATGGGGAGCCTGGCCAGGGAGCCCTATTGATATCCATCATGTGCCCAGGCGGCCTCCCTGTAATCGACTCTAAAAGCACTCACAAAAGCCTTAGTAAGCGGAGGGTGAGGTTGCGTGTCTGTTCTTGGGATCTGAGTAGAGTCCTTTTTTTCAAAGAGTGACCTCAGGCTCCTACCAGGCCACTTTCTTCCCCGAAACTGCCTCGTCGCTTTATTAATAAGCTGAACAGGTGGAGGGTGGTGATAGCTCTGAAGACGTTTCTATAAAGTAATGGAAGAGGAAACCACCTCTTCCCGCCAGGGCAAAGGATGGCCAGCTCTCCCCAGGCAGCATTAAAGAAAGGAGGAGAGTGCATTCTTGGGCTTGGCAGGGTGGAAATACCACTCTGGGGCTGAACTGCACCCCACCTCCTCCCCTCTGGCTGAGCCTCGCAGCTTTGGGGATGCTCCCTGGGACCGAGACAGCTGGAAGCAGGTGGACCCGCACAGATAAAAGAGCCCACCCCGCTTTGGAAGCATGAACACAATCCCCACTAACCTTTATAGGAGGCATTTATTCTCTTCCAGCCATTGTCTCTGCCTCTCCGAAGCCCTGGATGGAGCCAGCACTGTAAATACCAAAGTGCCGATTAAAAACGGAGGCCTGCAGCCCAGCTGTGCCCAAGTCCCGGGGTGTGCAGTGGGACCGCCATGGAGGGGAAGGAACCGGACTCTAATGGACCCCCTTGGGGATCACCTGCCTCCACACACAGCTCCCTGCAATCATCACTGACCCAAAATGGGACCATCTGACAGGGAATGAGCTGTTCAGTCCACAGACAGAGCCAGCGCCATATGGAACCGGCATTCCAATTGCACACGGCAATACATAAAAACAATCCAGGATGCTAACTCTATTTCCCTGGCAATCGAGTTTAACTAGCACCGGGCTTGCTATAATCAGATTCTGCTGCTGTATTTATTAAATATAAGTTGCTAAACATATGGCCCAAGAGTTGGGTAATAGGACGCGGAGTCTGGCTTAGCAGGGGCATCATTTTTCAGTTCTGCCCTCAGGTATTTGAGGCCAGCAGCCGTCATCAGCCTATCACGGTTCAGAGCCTGTGAAGAATGGCTCTTCCCAGTCACAGCCATGGCTTCTCCTAATGGTATCTAGTTGGTTAGAAATGACAGCCACAGAGGTCACGATCATACTTCCAATGCAGTGCCATATAGCTCTGACTCCTCTTTAGTCAGCCAACAATTTAGTGAGTACCTATTATGTACCGCATCCAGAGCTAGGACTTAAAGAAACTCAACTGAGCAAATTATGGGCATGACACCAGCCTATTCAGTCTAAGGTGAAGAAAGGCTAGGAAAATATAAATTTAGTTCCAGGGTGGTTTGTACCGTAAAAGAAACTGGCACGGTTTAAAATATCCAAACCTTACACAAAACATAGAGATTTGTTTATTTCACAAGGGCAGAGATTGAAGTCAGGGATTTAGACTGTCCAAGGCTAGAATGGCAGCCGTAGAAAAACCCTCTGCTCCCCTGAGCCTTGTGGCCCATCCACAGTGTGAGGTGCTATCAGACAATGAGAGCCTGCTGGCAGATCAGGGCAGACCCTCCCACAACTCGGAGCTCACCCCATGACGGATGACCCTGCTACAGCACTTTCTCTTTATTAATTATATGAACGGTGGTCCTCATTATTTATGGTCCACTGTGCAGAACTCAGGCTCACTAGAAATGCATTGGAAAGTGTAATGGTAAAGAGTGGCAGATTAAACACACCTGCGTATCTTTGCACCTCCTGAAGCTCTAGGAAGATGACGATAAGGGAATTTTTAAGAAGGCTGCATACATTCATAAGAATGAAAAAAAAAAAACAGAAGGAGAAAAATAGCCACAGAATTTGAGAGCTAGGAACAGATGAACAAGTGGTAATGAACTTCACATGCTGGAACCAAAGTCTAGAGAGGGAAAAGTCCAGAAGCAAGCAGGTCTTCACCCCAGAAGCCCAGAAAAACCTATGAAATGTGAGCCCAAAATAGTCCTGGGAGGAATCGTGCAGGCAGAAATAAAAAATGGGAATGTTTGCTAAATGTCTGATCAGAAGAAAATAGGTCCCTGGGTCCTCTCTACTATTCTGCAAGACTAGTAGGTGACTGTCAGCCCCAGCCCTGGTGGAGGACTAGACCTGGCATCTCTAAAGAGGGACTTCAGGCTCAGGGACATGGGCTGAACTCAGCCCATGGACCTTGGCCTGGATCCTGCTCAGTTCTAAGAACACTCTGGGGCTACCAGGCATGTACCATGAGGTCAGAGATGAAGTTGCCCAATTCTGGGGGTGCTATATCAAAGTGCCCGGCAGAAGCCTGCCAGAAAGCCAGGTGCAAACACTCGGCACATCCAATCAGCACGTCATGCCATGATTTCAGGAAAGCCTTTAGCATATAAGAGCAACCAACAAAACTAACTGCAAACAGGAATGAAAGCACAAACAGAGGCAAAACAGGAAGGAGGAAAATATTTTCAAGAAAAAGTCCTGTTATTGTTATCTTCGGACAGACGGGAGAGGCCACCGCCTAGATGACAATGAAGTTGGTGTGTGCCCAGCACTTCCTGGTGCTGGCTCTGCTCCCAGTGCTTTCAGAGCAGCATGAAGAGTCGTCAGCACCATCCTGCACAAAGTGACTGTTGTGTTGCTCCATTTTACAGCTGGGAAAATGGAGCCACATAGGGTGTAAGTAGGTATCAATGCCACCCAGCTGGTTCAGCAGATGAGCTGCAGTTGGTACCAAGGCGATCGGCTTCCCCAGTTTATAATGTCAACCACCGTGCAAATGATGCTGCAAATGAGGGGCCCTACGAAGGGACATTGAGATAACAAAGAGAAGCGACTGGGAATTAAAACTACAGTTGCAGATGAAATATTTATTCTGCAAAAGGTAGAAAATATTTCAGAGAGAGAGAGAGAGAGAGAGAGAGAGAGAGAGAGAGAGAGAGAGAGAGAGAAAGGAGAGAATATACAAAATTAAAAAAAAAATTATACTCCTCTGCAAAAATCTAGAGGATCAACCTTCAGCAGGTTGGTCCCTGAAAGGTAGATGTTTTAGCAAAAGGAAATGCGAATACAGAGGGAATGAAAATATCAGAAAATTAATTAAAGAAAATATCCCAGAACTGAAAGGTCCAACTGAAAGGTCCGAGCAGCACTCGGTACTTGTCCAGTATTATGAATGAACAAGAATTTAGGGACACATTATGACACCTCAGGCTGCTAGGGAACTGAGAACAGCATCATGCTTTCCAAAGACAAAAAAAAAAAAAAAAAAAAACGAGTTAAAAATAAAAGACTGGCATTCAAACCATCTTCCTTTCTCAATAACACATGGGAAATCAGGAGGCTACAGGAGACGTCTTCAAGCTTTGGAGGGAAAACAATTCCTAGGCTCCATCACGGAGAATATGAAGGGTTTTCTCAGATACAAAATCATCTAAAATGTATCTTCAACCCAGGTACCTTTCAGGAAAGGCGCTGGACAATACGAGAAGAAATCATAAGGAGGGGGAGTTGGGATCCAGAAAATCAGGGACCCACCTAGAGATGAGTGTAAGGGACCTGAGGACAATAGCAAAGGACGTCCCCGGAGGGCTGCTGGGGAGCTGACCTGGGCAGCAGCCAGAAATGGCCACCCAGGGCGACACTCCAGGGGGCTGTGGCCAAGAAAAATGGAGAAACCAACAGACTACCTGATGTGCTTAGAATATAAAGCTCTAGATGAATTAGAGGTAGTTGGGAGTGTAACTGAGTGAAAAGAAAATTTAGGCAAATTATTAACTAACTTCAGGGGGGAAAATTATACAAGAAAAAAAAAATCACATTCATCCCTGTGACTCAGCAACGTGAGCATGTGATTTCCACTCTCAAAGTAATGTGACCGATGCATAGTAACCTAATTAGAAATCGTGATATAACCATAGCCAGAAAATGGAGAGGGAATAGAAGCGTATGTGTGCACACATGTGTATGCATGTGTGTGTGTCTGTGTGTCTGTGTGTGAGACAGAGAGAGAGAGAGGTTGTGGATACATGCATTGGGGGCCAAATGAGAATATTTTAAAACAGGAAAATCAATAGATCATGCCTAAAATTGAAAAATCTAGCAGTGTAAGCATGTTATTTAAAATTATTGAGACAACTACCAAAGGAACCATTAAAATAATTGAAAGCAATTGCTTCTGGTATCTAGGGTTGGGGCAGGACACTGAGGATCACAGAACAGTTTGAATTTTTTGAACTACGGGCACCTTGTAGAAAATTAAACTATTAAAAAAGAGAGAGAGAGAGAGAACTCTGATTGTCTTCCTGAAGGCAGCAGTCGATGCACACTACAGGGTCATATTTCACTGAGCTGATCCAGGTCCTTGAGAGGGGCAGCTGCTCCCCACCAGTTACTGGAGAAGGCACCCAGCTTGCCAGGCTCAGATTCCACCTGCCCTGGGCTGCAGCTTGTCTGGCCTGGGTGATTGCCTAGGATCGCCTAGGATTTTGCCAGCCATGAATGCTGAGAAACCCACTCTAGCAGATTCTAAGGGAGGCACAGGATGTGCTGAGCAAGCAGGATTCAGCGTGAAGCACAGCCTGCTCTCCCAAGGATGAAGGGCTGTGCTCACTCCATGCTTTCCCTCTGTGCACATTGTTTCCAGGCAACAGTTCTGTTTAGGGAAGGAGGGCAGAGGCTTCCAGAGAAATGGGGAAGGAGTCACTTTTCTTACTGGTTTCAATTCAACCCTGTCAAATGGCTTTACTTCTTAACCCCATAAATCAGTAAGTCAAACCGTAAAAGTTGAATTGTGTAGCCGGGCGCGATGGTGCACGCCTGTAATCCCAGCAGCTCAGGAGGCTGAGGCAGGAGGACTGCAAGTTCAAAGCCAGCCACAGCAATTTAGCGAGGTCCTGAGCTGCTTATTGAGACCTTATCTTAAAATAAAAATATAAACAATGGGCTGGGGATGCGGTTCAGAGGTTAAAAAAAAAAAAAAATTGTGTAACAAAACCAGATGCTAGGGATAGATACAAAAGCAGCCAGTGAGGCTCACACAAAGACAGGGAGTTTGCAAGGCCCAGGCGTATACTTTCATGCAAGCACTCTCAATAGCTCCCAGGAGGTCAAGGACCTGGGGTCCACACCATGTCCTGAATGAATGGCGTTCCCCTTGCAAATCCAACTTCACTGTAATTAGGATCACAACCAAAACAGAGCTCCACTTCACACGTCTCTGTCACCATCCCTGATGGGTGAACGCTGCTGTTCGTTGTTCCCCGGCAAAAGAGGAAACTGGGTGAGGATGGGGTGGGGGCGGATTTCTCCCATCACAGCCGCAGTCCCTTCCCTTCCCTTTCTGGATCTCACGTTTTCCTTTCCATGCTCTCTGGCTCTCAAACACAGCCAGACACCAGCCTGAGTAGCACTGTGGAGGAAGCCCCTTCTCTGGCTTAAGGTTCCCAATGAAGGGACACTAATCCAAGTTCACTTCCTGGGGGAGAGGAACGACCTTGGCTGGCGGTGTGGGTCCTGTCGGGAGAAGCAATCGAGTCTAAGCGGACCAGCGCCTTCTTGGCTCTGGTTGGGGCGGCACCTGCTCAGTGGGAGGTTCCTTCTCTGCTTCTTCTTGGGGTAAATTTCAGACCTAGTTTCACCTGGGGAGACCCCCGTCTCCGAATTAGGTGAGGAGTTTCATCATGAGGTCCACGCACAAGCCCAAGTTCCAGAGACCTTCTAATCCAGTCCCCACCCAGCAGTCAGGTTGCCATTTTGGCCTCCAGCTGCCTGTTGTCCCCTCATCCCTCTGCAGTGTCACTCATGGGTCCCACCAGGCTGTTGTTAGTTTCTGGAACATGACAAACTGCTTTCTCCCCCAGAGCCACCACGGCTGCTGCCTCCTGGGCCTTCACTGATTTGATCCTCAGCCTCACAACTCTGTACGGCTGGATCCTCACCTTTCAGCCCCAACTCAGCACCTCCTCAGGGCCGCCTCCCCAGACCTCTCCATCTAGGGTGGGCGCATCTCCACTGGCCTTCCCAGTGACAGCTCCCCTTGTGGTATCCTTATGGCACTGGTCACAATATGTAGATTCTTATTGATTTTTTGCTTTCTGGTGCTATAGTGTGTAGGGTTTCCCTCTACAACAAAAGCTACCGGGGTGCAAGGACCCTATCTTGTTCTTTATTGTGTCTCCAGCACCTACCGTAACATCTTGCACAAGGTAAGTCCTCAATTAATGACTTCTGAACCAATCGATGAAGTTAATATTTTCTACAAAAGGTGCTTAGCTCAGATTTTAAGCACAGGATAGCTTTGTAGTTCGACAAGTAACTTTCCTTCAAGAGCTCCTGTTCCTGTGTGCTTGCTCCTAGTGGCTCTGGTCTACAGCATGCTCACAGCACAGGGCTTCCCTTACCAGCCACGCAGAGGTACCTGGCTCTCGCCTGCCTCACGCTGCCTAATCTACCACCTCCTCCCCTCACATCACCCCTGAGATCTGGATCCTCCTGGCAGACTCTATTAGAATCCAGCCACCATTTAGTTACATCTTGCTGCTTTATGTCATTCACATCTATCTTTTGGGGTGTCCCACTTCCCTCCTTCCTTCCCATTTCCTATCTACATTCAGTTTTGATTTTGTAACCCTTTCTCTCTCTCTCTCTCTCTCTCCCTCTCTCTCTCTCTCTCTCTCTCTCTCTCCCCCTCCCTCCCTCTCTCTCTCTCTCTGCCCCAAGGGAATCTATACCAAGGCCTCTCCACCCCTCCTCCAATCTAGAGATCATTTTTTTTCTTGGTACTTCTCTTTCAGGGCTTCACAGCACTTTGCACTTAAAAATTAATACCTGTATACCTTTACAGATTTTAAAAAGTCATGAAGACACTACATTTATATTTCATTAGAATAACCCTCACCTACAGTCCAGGTGGCCTCTCTGGAATCTCTATCCACAGCTGCAGGAAGCTTCTATGCCACCTCTCCAAGGACTGAGCTGGAAAGTAGCACGGAGGTCAAAGGACTCCCTCTGGAGCCAGAACTCTTGATGATCTTCTGCCTTAGATGTCCCAGCTAGGACAAGGACAAAGAGCAAAGCAAATCACAGCAGATTTTATCCTCATGAGATTTTAAGTTTGGTACCACTAAACTTGACCTCCGTGGCTCCTAGGTGGATCACAATCCTTCTCAGGCTTTTCTGAAGCTAACGTGCGCTGTCCACTTGACAGGTTTCACCCATGGTGACACATGCACCCTTTACAGCCAGGCATGCAGAGTGACTGGTTTTTTTGTTTTTGTTTTTTTTTTAATAAATTTTTTAGTTGTAGACAGATGCAATACCTTTATTTATTTTTTATGTGGTGCTGAGGATCGAACCCAGCGTCTCCCATGTGCCAGACAAATGCTCTACCATTGATTGACAACCCCAGTCCACACACAGTGACTTTTCAGTCAACGATGGACCACATACACAATCGATGGCAGTCCCATGAGATTGTAATGGAGCTGAAACACTCTACTGCCTAGTGGCAACACATCGACCCTGACATGGCAGCAGGACGCTCCGCTCACGTGACTGTGTGAGGCTGGTGTGAAAAAGTCCACTGTGCTGCCAGATGTACAAAGTTATATCACACATCATCCCACATACTATGTAATGACGCTTGCAATGACAATAAATGACTCCGTTACTGGTTTGTGTATTTACTACGCTGTGTGTTTCAACATTATTCTAGAGTATACTCTCTGTTCTTATAAGAAATTAAAGGTAACCAGCCTGCCCTGTCCCACCAGCAGCAGCCTCATGAATCACATGTTGAGGTCACCACGTTGAATGATTGACCTACACCATCGAGGTTTAGGAAACTATGTCCCCTGAGGGTCACATAATGACAAAATTGTTAGGATGAGTTTCTTAGTACATATCCCCCTCGTTAAGAAACATATGTCTGTATATATGAATGAGCATGTGAGTGTATATATATATATATATGAAACTTATTTAAGGCAGAGATGTAAATGGCCATTGGAATAGACATTCGATGCAAATAGTGTTTCAAATTAGAACTTCTTTGTGGTGTTTTCTTAGCTCATTCCTTCCTAAGAAGATTTGTCTAGGGACAGATATGTCCATAAAGACTTTCCTGGACATCAGGACATTCTTGTTCTTCTTATCCTCAACTACTGTGGATGGACCTAGGCAGCACAGAGGCTTTAAAGTGGGAGCTGGTTTGGAAAATTCTGACTTGAACATAAATGGGCATATAGGGCACATCTAGTGATGCCCAGGGAGTCTGGGAGGGTCTTAAATTGCTAGTTGAGTTCATGTTCTCCCTGGAGAAAGCACATGGCAAGACAAATGTATTCTATTCTTTCCCTATTTTGCCTTAATCTTAATGTCTTAATCCTGGTATCTAATAAATTGAGCTTAGTTCTACTATATCCAATATTTACAAAGGCAATTTGTAAATATGTATTATTATATGAATAACATATGGAGATACCCATAAAGGGGTGTGTATGTGTGTGTGTGTGTGTGTGTGTGTGTGTGTGTGTGTGTGTGTGTGTGTGTATGATCCTACATAAAATGCTTGGACCCAGGAAAATGTTCCTAATGTGACAATTTAGCCTGACAGAAATACTTGAAGTGTCCCATTTATTAAAATCCATTAAGTCTCCTGGTTATAAATCTTGTTAGGAAATACACTGTGGTGAAAGTTACAGGTTTATGGAAACAATTCTTAAAAGGAGAAAGTGTGGCTGATGATTTGCTTACGCAAAGCTGTTGCTAGAGGCAACCTGAGTCCCTGATGGCACATGAAGTATTGGTCAGAAAGAGAAAATGGAAGGAGTCCTCAAGAAGGAAAAGACATGGACGTACGTGCAAGGGAATGGTCTCGAGGCTCTGGTACATGATTTTCTCTTTCTTTGCCACCCTATCCTGTAGGGGAGAAGAGATTTCAGGAAGAGTAGAGCTGAGCCCCAGAGATTGAAAAGACAAATAAAATCTGTCCCTCTGATTCAAAAGGAAACTGGGTTTCTAGTAATAAACGGCTACATGCCAAATGAAGACAGGCTTCTGTCCTTCCCCAACCACTCTGCTTCATGAGATTTCCAAGGAGGGACAATCTAAGTACCCCTGGTGTTTAAAGTAGAACTTGGTGAGCTACATACTCGGGTCCTTCTCAGAGCAGTCCCAGGCCTCTTTAACTGAAATCCCGTGGAAGAAAGGACTTCACAAGAAATATCATCCTCAAAGAGCTAGAGAGGACTTCCCAGCACTCTGGCCCCATGAGTCCCCTTGACTTTGGTGCATTTAAGTTCATCTGTCCTTCACTGTGATATGGGGCTGGGGTAGGAGGAGCAGAGAGGGCACGAGGCTGCTCCTGGGCCGAGCACCCACAGCTCAACTGGGATGAGGGCAAAGAAGTCCCTGTGCCTCTGGGAGCAGGGGAAAGCCCCCCACGGGGCCAAAAGCCTCCATATCTATGTGCCAGCAGAGTGGAGCCTCACCCAGATGATGAAGAGTTCATAACAAAGGAAGGAGGCAATTTTAATCAAGGAATGAGGATACGATGAGAATTAGATTACCATAATTTGTGAGAAATGTTCTATAAGAGCTTGTTTTTTTTTTCTGATTAGGAGCATCATCAATAAATTAGAAGTTGATAGCATAAGGTTTCTATATAAAAGTGGCAATAATAAATATGTTTATTTTCAACTAAGGAAAATTTTCTAGAATATAAGTAGCTCTGCCTTGCAATGTTCCTGGCACATGGGAGATCTACTAAATATAAGCTGAATTAATGTGGACCAAAGTTTTAACATCCTGGTCATCTGTTACACTGCCTCCTAGTGGTCGCATCCATAATTGTAAGCAAAGTAAATATATTGGGGAAGGGGGCTTTGTGTTTGTGTGTTTTACCAAGGAATGTATTAATAATGGATTGTATAAATGTGTTTATAGTTATTCTAGATGATTCAAGGAGAACACATTTTGAAAGTCCTGTATTAGAATTTATCTTTTAAGATAAAGATAATCAGACTTTACACAACATGCTCTCAGATTTAGAACTCCAATGTTTAAAATGTCCCTTGACTCTGAAGTTCCAAGAGAGTTAATGACTTAACAGTCAAAACTTTTCAAAAAATTTAAGGAAATATTCAGTCTCCAGAGTCAGCACAGATCCAGTGGGCTTTCAGAACCACCTTCCCATCAGCAAACACGGACTCTGTTTCTAGCTAAGAGGAGAATGTAGGGGGCTTTCTATTTTTCACTTTAATGAATGCTATTTTCGCTTGCTTTAGGGAGCAGCCCCTAAGAAGACTAGTGACAAGATGAAGTTCCCTGGTTTGCTTTTTCCCTGACAGGTTCAAAAGTGCCATGCAGGTGGCAAATTAGACTTGGCTTCCCATTAATTGGTAGGAAGAAACTTCCTCTCCTGCTGCTCATATTGTCATTGGCTCCTTCAGCGCACATTGAGGTTCCGTGGAGTTATCATTATTATATTTATCATTGCTGCTGCTGGTGCTGTGGTGGGAAGTAGATCTGAGAAAATGCTGAAGGTCTGATATCAACTAGAAGACTCTCTAAATATGTGTCTTAAAATAGCTAGAAACTTGAGATAACTCTTGTGGGGGGTGAAGAGCACATCAATTGATAAAAAAATCTGGTTGGGGTAATTCTGGGTCTGGATAAGAAATGTATGAGATTTTCTTTAAAGAATGTAAAAAAGTAATCCAAATAATAGTCACAATGATAATGATCCAGATGTGTTATCACATATCAAATTCTTACAGTGTAAAGGTGCCATGCATAGTTCTGCATATACTCTGTCACTTAGTCTATAGGGTGACCCTAAGGGGTGATTCTTTGAGCCATGAACAGGTGAAGGATTGGCCCAGCTCCATACAGCTTATAAATGGCAAAGCCATGATTCAACCTGCGTTTATCATTGGAAGGCCTACAGCAAAGCACCCACCAGAGTGTAGATGGATCCTTCCTAGGCCATTTCAGTGAACAGAAACAAAGACTACCGTGGTGAGCCCAGACAGGGTTTAAACCTAAGGAGGACCACTAAGGGAAGAGGAGGAGAACATGTCTTTCTGAAGCCTGGTGGTCTTTCCAAGGGAGTCAGGGAAGAAGTTATTGACAGACCAACCCTAGATGTGACCATGCAAGTGAGACCGAAGGACACACAGAGCCTTCAGTGCTGAGACGGGCTTGTGATGGCCCTGCTGTAGCTAAACAATATTACCCCCAGTTTCCTTTTTGGTGCATCCCTGGTTAGGATGGACTACAAGAAAGATTATTCCTAGTGCATTGGAGTGTCCCACAGGAGATGGCAGCCACTTTACAATGTACACATACCTTCTCTCAGCCATTCAATCCAACACGAGTCTGGGTGCCACTGCAAAGGGATTTTTGCAGATGGAATTCAAGTCCTAAAATCAGTTGATTTTGATTTCATCAAAAGTAAGATTATCCTGGATGGCCCTGATTTAATCAAGTGAAAGCCCTTCAAAGAGGGACTAAGCTCTCCTTGGACAATAACAATTCCAAAGCAACAGAGAAGAAAGAAAAAAAAATAGATAACATTTCTACAATCTGGAACCTCTACTGTCCCCTCATGGTTGAGGATCTGCTGCTCAACCTCACGTCCACGGAGCAGCAGATGGAAGAGCCTTTGTTCACCTTCCCTCTGGATCCTTCCTTCAAGGCTTTCTAAAAGTCACTTATATAAGGAGTTGTCTCTCCAGATTGGAGGGGCACTGGCTGGCACAGCATTCCAGGTGAAAACGGATTTGGGAAAAATTAACATGTCCAGCTGGATTGCAGGAGGAGTTCTTCCAATGAAGCAACGTATTTTATTAACCCACTCGGGCTGCCCACAAAGCACCGCAGATTGGGGGTGTAAACAATGGAAACTGGTGTTCTCACAGTTCTGGAGATTGGAGTTCAAGGCTGAGGTGCCTGCATGATTGGCTTCTGGTGGGGCCCCTCTGTTGGCTTGCACATAGCTGCCTCCTTGGGTCTTCATATGGCTTTTGTCTCTGTGGGGTGGAGA